TCTGTCCCGCCCTTTGTGATGAGTATTTAAACTGGTGAATTTGTTGTGAGATTCGGTGTGTATGTTAAACGTCATCGTCGGCTGCGTCTTCCGTGTCGTCGTCGTTTACTACCCCAGTGTTTCGCGTCACCTCCCCGTGTCTTCAGTACTCAAGATCGTGGGTATTCAGTGTGCCCTACGTTTCGCGCCCAGAGGTCCAGTGCAGCAGTGTGGTGCTGCAATCCAGTTATCGGCACCTTGTCCGCAGTGGTTGTCGCTGCAAGCGCCCGATTTAATTTCCATCGCCTCAACGAATCACTTGTAATCTAGTATTCGTGCTGATAAAGTTTGTTTGTTGACTCCAATCTGTCCGCTACGCGCCACAGTACAACAGCAGTCATCCAAGTTCTCGTCCGAAGCTCGTCGTACCATCTTCATCGTCATCGTCATTATCGTCGTCTTCGTCGTCTCCGTAACATGGGGGCTGAGCTGGTAAGGGTTGCAATTTTAAGGTAACCCAGCTGAAGGAAAGAAGCGGGAAAAAGCGATAAAAGCGCAGCGATCCGGTGGAACGTGCAAGAAAAAAGCCAGTGAGGCGGGGCAGCAGTGAGCTGTTAGCACGGGATCAGCAATTACATTGCGGCCCGTGCGATAGGCAATGGCGATGAATAGCGAAGGCTCGCGAGGGAGCTCGCGAGACGGCGGTCGGCGGGGAGATGGAGCCCCGTTTGCCGTGAACAACGGGAGACTTGAATGCAGGGAGGTAAGTGGATTTTCGGAGGAATTTTGGGACAAGGCAGAATGGGCGATAGACTGGCTCCGTATGGAGGGCGTAAACGAAGTTAGTGAAGCCCTGGAGGAGGTCCATGCGCAAGTGATGGAAGGAGTCGTGGCCACTCGGAGTGCCACCACAGCAGTAGAAGAGTGCTTCCAGCCCTGGGAGGCTGTAGAAGCTGCCTGACAAGGAAAGCAGCGGGAGGCCGCTAAGGTTCTGCTGGACTTGCAACAGGCCAGAACAGAAGGAGCACTGCGAAGAACCAGTGTCGAGCTGGCTGCTGTGGCTCAGCAGTTCGACGTAGAATCCGCGTCGCAGCTGTGGAAGAAGCTGTATGACGCGCAGAAGTGGGAGGCGACAGACTATAAGTCGCCCATAGTGGTGGCGCGCTTGCTTCGCGAGAGCAGCGCGACCGAGACTGAGGGGCAAGCTTGGGCAGACGAGCTGCAAAAAGCCTTGTGGAGAACCCAGCAAGAGGTAAGGAAGCTGAGAGAGGTGAATAACCAGCTTCAATTGCAGATTGAACCCAGGCTGGAACGCACCAGGCGGGCCGGTGCGATTATGCGTTTTTGCACTTTTCGTGCCGCAGCAAAATCGCAAGGAATCAAAGTAGCTAACCCTGTGAAATACC